TTTACCCGTCGTTTTGGTAAAAGGCACCAATGTGTCTTTAATTGCCGTGACAATTCTTTCTACAACTGCTGATTCTTCCAATTCCATTTTATGAACCTTGTGAATGGGCTTAGTGGCAAGTGATGCGGTTTCTTGAGTAAGCGCATGTGACACCGTTTCAGCGAATGTTCTTTTAGGCAGTACAAGTGCCGCACGTTTAGTATCTACGTCTCGTATACCATTAATGAAGCTTTGTATTTTTACGCGTTCGATATAGTCTACCGATGCATCTGCATTTGCTAAATGTGCCAATCTCTCAACATCAGCTGCGAAATTCTGGAGAGTCTCACCTGAGTTTTGGCATCGATTTTGTAGTTCGATTTGGTATATTTGTTGCCTGTGTTGACTTCCAAATCGCCTTTCTAATGCGGACATCAAGGTATCATAATTTTCTCTTTCATACTGGGGTATGGTTTGTAATATTTCTGCTGCGGAACCTTTCAACGAAATAAATAACGCAGCTACTTTATCTTCGGTATTCCAATTATTAGCCACCGCTGTTTTTTCGAATTGAAGCTTAAATATTTGCAATGGGACACTTCTGTCAAACATTGGAGCTTTGTGCTTTGGAGCGCATATTGGTGCTGCTATGCTATGTACTTGTAAATCACGAACACGACTGCTTAGTTGTAGCACTTCGGATTTAAGCTCCTCTTCGTCCCTCTTCAGATCCCGTAGCTTATCTTCAAACTTTTCCACTTGTTGGCGTATTTGCGCATTATCACTTGTTAACTGTTCTTGCAGCTGCATAAATCGTGCCTCCATTTGAGATGAATTTTCTCGCAGCTAAACCGACATTTGTGACATTGCTGTTGAGTTCTCTGTACTCATTTGTTTAATGGCAGCTAATATCGCATTCGTATCTAGTTTTAGTGAAGAATCTGCTTGTGTCGATTTTAACTCTGTCTTAGAGGAGCTTTCTGGAACTTCGAAATCAAATTCGTCTGCGTCTATACCCTCTGCCTCCATTGCATCGCGTAGTCGACTTTGTAAATTTGCCTTTGATCCATCAATAGCTAAATTACGTGCTTGTAGCTCGTTCTTCAATTGTGGAATTTTTAAATCAGCCAATTTAACCATTTTTAACACAGTTTGTTGACAATCCCACTTCTGACACCAATTGTTACGTTTTTATTAATCGTAATATATATAAATATAACTAAAATTATTAAATTAAAAATATTTATGAACTTATGTATGGTTTACAAATTATCTTTGGGCTTCCGTTCGAATCGCGGGATTGTCAACAACTCAACTACTCTCCGACTAGCAGCAGACATCTTCTTTTTTTCTGTTTTGTAATTTTCTCCTTTCTTGCCAACTCGCCGTGTTGCCGTGTTGCCATGTTGTACGATGTTATTGCCAGACTAGATTTGTTACAATATTATAAAATTTTTACAATGGCAACACCTAATTTACTTAATTTTTATTTAATTTACCCTACTCGAAATTCTGTAAATACAAACATTCGCTGCTATACAGATATAATTTACTATTTCCCTAAATTTACCATCAATTTCCATCAAAGCAACAATTTTCGAAGCAGAAAAGGTCTTCGGTCAATTCTCAATATTTAGATTGACCGTTAATTTAAATTCGCTTGCAAACATAAATATGCCATACCTAAAAAGTTTAAGAATTAATAATTTTAAAATATTTTTTTATATATAATTATTAAAGTTTTTCAATAAAAAATAAAAGATGTGAAATTAGTGTTAGTGAACGACAAATAAGTTATGCGAAATTGAAGAATAATTTTGTGGGTGACCGCAGACTGTGATAGCGAAATACATTTCGTTCTGTAGAAAACTTACCATAGGTACATTTATTGTACTGGACTGACAGCTCATCAGTCCTAATCCTAATATAGTATGTATAATATTTCACACATACTTTTGCGAAGAATAAATAAATAAATTCCATAATTATTATTAAGATTAAAAATATTATAAAAATATATGTGAAATAAAAAATGCAGTGTTTTTATTTATAAAAAACGCTTAGTATGATTTAAAAATATATTATTTATTAAATATTTAGCTATGTACGGGCAAACGGTTTTAGTTAAAGGTAAAAATAGTATTGCATTATTTATATATTTAACTTTGCTATATTTTTACTTAAAAAGTAAGGGAACAGATCTAATATAAATTAAATTTAGTAGTGTAATTGATAACCACGATCACATTTTTAATATATCACTTTTTAATTAATTAAAGATTTTTTCAAATAATAAATATAATAAATTCACTATACTTCGATAAATGGGTATTCAGATTAAAAGAAAAAATAATAAGAAAGATATTTTTGATAACATTTGGCTATAAAAATAATTATTATCTTCAAAAATAAATCAATTTTATATTTTTTATTATTCTGTTCCTCTATCATTATACGTTCACTATCTTTGGCATAGCGATAGGTACGCTGTGGTTCAAGTGAGTCATTTGGCCTAGTCCATTATTCGAACCGCGATTGTAAAACAATTTTTTCATATATCTATTTATATATTTGTGTCTATTAATCCAATTACTTAAGCAAAGCTATGATATACAAAATGTAAAAGGATATCCTCATCGACAAGTACCAAGAAATTACACAAACAACTTTTATGGGAATTTAGACCAAAAAAAATTTTTTTTTGGGACATCAATAACGCAGAATTTGAATATACAGATATGATATTGTATTTACTGATGAGATGATGATGTCTGGTTCTTTAAATAGACCTCATTGTATGTCGATATTTATTTCTAACTTCAACTATTGCTAATATATAAAATTTTTTTGCCTTTAAAATAGATTTTGTTCTTATGATCAGAAGTTTTCATCTATAACGTGTGAATTTATTGAGTTTCAAACATTGTTTAGTTACTTTTACACCATTTTTATCAACATTTTACTTTTCGTTACTATACTATATGGGCATATGAAACATTTATTATGTATATGTAAAACAGACTACAGGTAACACTTCCCAAATTATTCTAATAAATGCATTGCTACAGGTAGATTATTGCTAATGTAGATGTGTTTTTTAATGTTTTTTCATAGTCTCTACTTAGTACTAATAATCGTAACAATTTTATTATGCTTGTTAGAAATGATTACTTAATTATAAAAAAAAAATAAAACAGTTTTTATCATATTGTTATCTTCTCAATATTAAGCAAATCATATGGTGAAGATGGTCTTCTTATTTTATATACAAAAAAAATTGATTTTATTAAAACATTCATTAAGTCATCTTTAGTCACACATTTTTTTTATCAACCCTACAAAAACAGACTATGATATTTTAAAAAGATGCATTCTGACTAAATGAAAGCAAGACATGAATAGTTGAAGAGCTCTTACGTTTATTGAATTTAGGGTGATAATCTTGAATACTGCATAGAACTTAAAACCGTTTTTAGTTCACATTGCACATTTGTGCTTATTACTTACTTTACCCAGTTTATCTCGAACAGTGTCAGGCGAGCATTGAATCAGTAATAACCACGGCCCGGCTGCATTAAAATATTCGATAAATAATTTTTGTTTTTACTTATTAAGTTGTGTTAATTACTTTTATAGTGTCGATAATTATTGTTTATGCAAACGTACATATTCCTTATCGGTCAACAGTCTCCAAACAATTAAAAAAGTTTGATAAAATTTTAACTATATAAAATAATTTTTTTAACTGATGTTAGATAGTATTTTTGAAACTAAATAAAAATATTTTTATATTAATTAAATTTAATTAACTATTAATGAAAAAGTGAATTATTTAAAAATTTAAGTATATATTTGTATATACCACTAAACAGGTATATAAGCATTATTTAAGCTCAAGTGGATTTTGGACTGTCATTTCAATCTAACTTAACGTATGTAATTATTTTATCTGCGATTATGGTTTTCTCATTTGATATACAGAAAAAATTGATGGAATTAAAACATGCTTAAAACCATCACATATCATACATTGCTTGTAATCCTAGGAGCTTTGAAACAGACTGCTTTTCCATTTCGTATACTAACTTCATTTAAAGGAAAAGTAATACAAAGAAAAAATATTGTGGTCTTAAAACAATAGTCATCATATAAACATCACTTATTCACACAATAACAGAAACTTTTAAAATTACTATACAAGGAACTATTGAATAGGAAAATATCAACTATAGTAAGGAGTTTTGTATAATCTTTGTATTTAACACAGAGAATCTGTTACTGCCTCACCTCTCTCTGATGAAGATTCCATTCTTTAGTGTAAACTATTTGTATAACAAGTGTTATCACTTGTTCAATAAGATGACACCTTATTGATCCCTATTTTTTTGTATCATTTCCCTTTAATTAATAAAAAAATATTAATAACTTTATTACTATTTTGCTGGTTCTAGGTTTAATCTGCCATTGAAATCATTAAAATCATTAGTCCACAACAGTTTATATATGCAACATTACTTTCTACCTCCTCCTTTTGAGCGAACTGATGACCCACCGTGAACTGAAAATATTGTAATGATGTTTTTCATTAAGGTTATAGGTACTTCGTTTTTAATTGACCTACAAAGAGACTAAAAACCGGTCAATTGTAATTTTTTAAAACTTTCCATATATATATCTATTTTTTCTAATATATCTTTAAACAAGAAGTAAGAAGTAAACAGCTTTATTTTCCTAGGTTATCAGTAAACAAATTTTAATGTTTAAATCAAAAGTATGTAATCATGATGGCTAATTTTTGAAATTGAAAGAAAGTTTTTCATTAGTACATAACTTTTCTTCTGGTATGTATATGATTGAATGCCTTTGAATATTATATATTGTTCCCATATATATTACTGCATTTATTTCTCACACCAGGTGATTGTTATAGAATAATGAAAAGCATTTAAAATATTTATAATTTTTTTTTTAAATTATTATTATAAAAAGTATATTAATTTCTTTTCCTATTCTAATTTCAGGTGCATTTTGCTAATAGCAGCCCTACCAGAGTGCCACAAATGTTAGATTTTAGGGACCAACACACACCTCAGGAACGTAAGTTATTCATAACAGTTTTTGAATAAAAATTTAGTTTCGTAATAGAAATCAAATTAAAAAATTAATTTTAAATAACTAAAAAAAAACATGTATAATTGTAATTTTTATTAGAATATAATTAATTCAAATTATATAACCTATTTTATATAGACGATTTACTACGTGTTTCTCCAACTGATACACTTGCATTCTCCACAACTAATGGCAATGAAAGTGTATTGGACCTTACAAGTTTAACCAATGTTCCGATCACATATAAGGTAAATTTATATAAATATTTTTAAAACTAAGAAATATAAACCATATACTATGACTTATATTTCAGATTCAAACAACATCTCCAGAGAAGTTTCGTGTACGACCACGATGTGGTGTTTTGAATCAAGGTGAATCGGTCACTGTTAATATCTTATTAAAACCAGATCAGACACTAGCCGATGGTGGTTTGAAAAAAGAAAAAGATAAATTTCTTGTTATGGTACATCCAGTGCCTTCAAACATCGATCAATCGGAACCAATGACAACATTTTGGAAGCAAGTGCCTCCTAACAGTCCAAACATAGAGGAGCATCGTTTAACTTGTGTATACAAAGGTTCAACAGATATCGCACAATATGCTAATAATGAAAAGTCAAAATCGAACGTTGATCAAATCGGCAAAGATATTGTTAATATTAGTGATGTAAGTAATGACACTTCTCTGTATAAAGTTGAACATTTTAAATCATTTAATGCATCTTTAACATATATCGACTTTTACTGGTGATATTAAACTATTTGAATAAAAATAAAGTTTTGGGATATTTAATAAATACGGCACACCTTGAATAGCTTCACTTCAGTTTGTGACAATAGATATAGTTTGTAATATAAAATAACAGCATTGTAGGCTACAAACGGAACCAAATAATGCGAACATAGTAGAACTACGGTTACAACTGACCTTCACCGAATATTCAGTTTATCAAATGTAAATGAAAATATTTATCATTACGGATTATATTAAGTGAGATCAAAATTGGAGCTTTCGAACAAATATTCTCCTTTTACTCCAACTCAAAAAAAAATAAATGGTCAGAAACAATATGAATAGAAATCTAGCATAAACTCCTTCCAAG